AGCAATATGTAGTGGTAAAATGAAGGCTATCACAAGAGACAACAAAGGTCACTACATAATACTAAAAGGATCGATCCAACAAGAAGATATGACCCTGGTAAACATATATGCCCCCAACATAGGAGCACCTAAATATAGAGAAAACCTTCTAGAGGATTTTAATGGAGAGATCGACAACAATACAGCCATCGTAGGGGACTTTAAAAGCCCAGTGACTTCACTGGATAGATCTTCCAGACAAAAACTTAACAAAGAAACAGAGACTCTAAAGGACACACTGGATCTAAAGGATTTAATTGACATTTATAGAACATTTCACCCCAACACAGAATACACATTCTCCTCAAGTGCACATAGGTCATTCACAAAGATAGACCACATGTTAGGACACAAAACAAGTCTCTACAAGTTCAAGAAGATTTAAATCATATCAAGCATCTTCTCAGATCACAGTGGAATCAAATTAGGAATCAACTAAAGTAAAAACACCCCAAAACATTCAAACACATGGAGGCTAAATAGCATGTTATTAAACAATGAATGGGTTACCAACAAGATCAAGAAAGAAAGAAATTTCCTGGAAACAAATGAAAATGAATACACAACAACCCCAAATCTCTGGGACACAACAAAAGCAGTCCTGAGAGGGAAGTTCATAGCACTATAGGCATACCTCCAAAAAACAAGAAAAATCAGCAATAAACTATTTAGCCCGACAACTTAAAGAACTAGAAAGAGAACAACAAAAGCCCAGAGTAGCAGAAGGAAGGAAATAATAAATATTAGAGTAGAAATAAATAACATAAAGACAAAAATAAATACAGAAAAAAATCAATGAAACCAAGAGCTGGTTCTTTGAAAAGATAAACAAGATCGATGAACCGTTAGCCAGACTCATCAAGAAACAAGGAAGGAGGACCCAAATAAATAAGATCAGAAACAAAAGTGGAGGAGTAACCATGGACACCACAGAAATAAAGATGGTAAGAAAATACTATGAACAACTATATGCCAACAAGCTGGACAATGTGGATGAAATAGACAAATCCCTAAAAAAATACAAACTCCCAAAACTGAATAAGAAAGAATCAAAAAACCTGAATAGGCCAATAACAACTGATAAAATAGAAGAAGTAATAAAAAAAACTCCCACCAAATAAAACCCTAGGTCTGGACAGCTTCACAGATGAGTTTTACCAAACATTCAAAGAAGAACTATCATCTATACTCCTCAAACTGTTTCAGGTAATCCAAGAGGAGGGAACACTTCCAAACTCTTTTTATGAGGCCAGCATTATCCTAATTCCAAAACCAGATAAAGATACTACAAATAAAGAGAATTACAGGCCAATATGTCCGATGAACATAGATGCTAAAATCCTCAAAAAAGTATTAGCAAACTGCATCCAGAAATATATTAAAAAGATAATATACCATAAGCAAGTGGGATTTATTCCAGGGATGCAAGGCTGGTACAATATTTACAAATCAATAAACATGATCACATAAACAAAATGAAAGACAAAAATCACATGATCATATTAATAGATGCAGAAAAAGCATTCGACAAAATCCAACACCCATTTTTGATAAAAAACTCTTAGCAAATTGGGAATAGAGGGAGCATATCTCAACATGACAAAGGCCATATATGACAAACCTACAGCCAACATCATAGTCAATGAGCAAAAACTAAAACCATTTCCTCTAAGAACAGGAACAAGACAAGGATGACCACATTCACCACCACTCCTGTTCAACATAGTACTGGAAGCGCTAGCCATAGCAATCAGACAAGACGAAATAAAAGGCATCCAAGCCCTAGTTGGTTTGGCTCAATGGCTAGACGTCAGCCTGCAGACAGGAGGGTCCCAGGTTCAATTCCAGTTAAGGGCACGTGCTCAGGTTGCAGGCTCGATCCTCAGTATGGGGTGTGAAGGAGGCAGCGATCAATGATTCTTTCTTATCATTGATGTTTCTCTCTCTCTCTCCCTTCCTCTCTGAAACCAATAAGAACATATTTTAAAAAAATAAATTGAAAAAAATAAACGGCATCCAAATTGGAAAAAAAGAATTGTCATTATTCGCAGATGACAAGATATTGTACATAGAAAATCCCAAAGACTCCCTCAAAAAACTACTAGACTTGATAAATGAATTTGGCAATGTAGCAGGATAGAAAATTAACACCCAGAAATCTATGGCTTTTTTTATACATCAACTAGAGGCCCAGTGCATGAATTGGTGCATGGGTGAGGTCTAGCCGCATGCACCCATGGGGGCTGATCGAGCCAATGGAACAGAACAGAGAACCCAGAAGTCGATTCAAGCCATTATGCTCAATTAATATTTGACAAAGAAGACAAGAGCATACAATGGAGTCAAGACAGTCTTCAATAAACAGTGTTGGGAAAATTGGACAAATACACACACAAAAATGAAACTAGATCACCAACTCACACCATACACAAAAACAAACTCAAAATGGCTAAAGGACTTAAATGTAAAATGGGGAACCATAAAAATCT